AATATTCTAAATAAAGTATAGACTATTTAAATATTTAGTTATACTATTTAAATTAATAAATATATCTATAGGATTTTAAAATTTTATAAATTTCTTATTTACAGAATATCTGGATAATTTTATAATTATTTATCTAAATAATATTATAATATATTTATATAATCTAAAGATATATAAAATATAGATTTATAAAATAGTAAAAATATTATAAGATATAGGATTATATATAAAATTTAATAAATACTATTTTATAATAATAGAAATTAACTTTTTAAAATTTTTAATTAACTATAAAAATATATATATAAAACCGGGGTATATTATAATAATCCGTGATTAGTCTAAACTATAGAATATAAAAAATATATTAAAATTTATTAAATTTGCGAATTAATATAGATAATTTATTAAAAAATATTTATAAATTATAATATTAATTATAGATCTGACTAAAATACTTTATAAAAAAAAAAAAAAAAAAACTAAATATAATTTTCTAATACTAAAAGCCCGTAAGAGTTTTTAAAAGCTAAAAAATATATTTATAAAAAATATAATTATAGTATATTTTAAAAAAAAAAATCTTTATAAATTAAAACTAATATATTAGTCTTTATAATTAGTAGAATACTATTATAAAAAAATTAAAAAGATTAGTAAAAGCTAGTAGTATTTTATTTATAGAAAATAATTTCTATAAAGCAGAACTATAATATTTATAATTAAAAGCTTTTTATAATTATAAAATTATTTAAAAAATAGTAATACTAGCTTAAAAATATAGAATATTTAATAAAAATAATTATTAATTATAAAAATTTTTAATATTTTATAATTAATAAAAAATTATCGTAAAAATAGATTAGATAGGCATAATATTTTATAATATTTAAATTTTTTTTAATATATAGATTAGAATTATAAAATCCAGCGAATATTCTATTATAATAATCTAACTATAAGAAAAAAATTATAAAAAAAAACTATAAAAAACTTAAAAAAATAATATTATAACAGCTAAATAATCTTTTAAGTTTAGAAAAAAATATAGCTATTTTTATAAGAATTAAAATACTGCTAGTAAAAAATATTATAGAAAATCTAAACTAGCTAAAATCTTATATAAAAATAATAAAAATAATTATAAAAAAAATATATATTATAAAAATTTATTTACTAATCTTATATAAAAGCTACTTCAGCTGTTATAAAAAAATAATCTTATAAAAAAAATATTTAAAATAAAATAAAAAAAAAACTGCGGAAGTAGTTCTTCTTATAGAAGAAAATATCTATAAAAAAAGATTATTTATAATAAAATATTAGTTAAAAACTGTTTTATTTTATAAAAAAGTTATATATTCTAAATAACTACCAGCTAAAACTAAAGATTTTTATAAAATTATATAATAATTTTATTATAAGATATTTTATAAAAATAAGAATCTAAAAACTGGTTTTATAAAGATTTTAGTAGCTAAAACTAGCTAAATTTATATAAAACTATTATTATATATATAAAATATATTAGAATAGACAGATAATTTATAAAAAATAATAAAATTTATTAAAACTATTACTATCTACTGTAAGATTTTAAAAAGAAGTAATTATAAATTTTATTATAAATCTATTTATAAATATTTATAAAGATAAAAACTTACAGAAGATTTATAATAATATTATAATTATAATAAATTAGTTTAGTAAAATAGCTTATTTTATTTTTATTTATAAAATATTATTAAAAAAAAAACTTATAATAATTTTTTTTAAAAAAATTTTCCGGTTATATAGAATACTTGATAAAATAATTATAAATTATAGATTAGTTTTTATAAAAAACTTCTAGTCAGATTTTATTTATACTTTTATAATTAAATAAGATTTAAATACAGTCTACTATCTGTAAATAAATAGTTAAATAAAAAGAATAAATAATATATTAAAATAGTATTTATAAAATTATATTAATTTTAAGTAAAATTATTAAACAAAGATATTACTATTTATAGAATTTATTTATAATAATTCTCTATAAGTATTAACTAAATATTTTCTATTTTTTATAATAACTGTATAATATCCGCGAATAATAGTACTGGACTTATAAGTATTAGAAAATCCTATAAAAAAACTAAAGTAATATTTTTAAAAAATTAAAAAAATAAAGAAAAAAGTAGTTATAAATCTTAAACTAGCTTATAAATATTAGAAAAACTTTTATAATAAAAATTATAAAACTACTATTTTTATAATAAACCAGAAAATTTAATTATCTGCGAAGAACTTATTATAAAAAAAACTAAATAAAAAATTAAACTAATATTATTATAGATTATTTTATATAATTAAAAAAATAAATAAATAAGCCTATAAACTGAAGCTATTTATAGATTTTTAGATTTATAATATTTTTTATATATTTTTATTCCGCAAGTATTATATAATAAAAAAAATAAATTTATAAAAATATTTCTTATAAAAAAATAAAAGTTTAGATAATTATAAGTACTATTTAGAAGTATTGCTAGATTTATAATACTATAAAAAAACTACCGAAATACTAGTTAAATAAAAAAAATATTATAATAAAAAAAATACTTAGAAATCTACTATAAACTTATATTATTTATAAGTTTATAAAAAAATTATCTTATAAAAGTATAAAAAATTTAATTAAAAAATTAAAAAAAAACTAAACTAAATATAAATTATAAATTATTTATAACTATATATCTTATAATCCCAACGCAAATTATAGTATATATTTATAATATATAATAGCCGGAATATATAAAAATATAGTTTTATTTTATTAAAAAATAATATTTATTATTTATATATAAATAGTTATTATACTACTAGCTAATTTTTTTATTAATATAATTATAGAAGACTCTTTTAGAAAAAAAATTACGGTAATATTTATATATCTAATTAAATAATAGCTATTAGTTAGTTTATAATATAAAAATATTTTTATAAAACTAAATCCAAACAGCTAGCTGTTTTAAATTTAATTATTTAATATATAATATAGGCTGTATAATAAATTTGCAGATTTAAATCTGTTTATAATTAAATAAAAATTATAATTTTATTTAAAAAAAATCTAATACTACAGCAAGTACTACTGTATTATAATCTAAAAACTAAACTATAATAAATAGTTTAATAAATTATAAAATATTCTATTTATTATTATTAATCTGTTTATAGAATATAGATTAATTTTAAACAGTTTTAAATATATTTATTAAAAATAGAAAAAGTCTAGAAATTATAAAAATAAAAGCTATAAAAACTATAATAATATTAATTATAGTTAACTACTAAACCCGCGCTTTACAGATATAAATAATAATATAAAAAAAAATAATAGTAATAGTAGTAGTAAATATAATAAAAGCAGATATAATAAAAATAAATATACTTATAATAATAATAATAATAAATTTAATAATAGCAGTAGTAGTAAAGATATTCTTTTTTATAATAAAAAAAAATAATAAAAAGTATTATAAATAGTTAATTAAGTTTAAATCTATTTTATAAATAACTTATATAAAAAAAGATAAAACGGAATAGACTAATAAAATCTATAAATATAAAGTTTAAATAATAAATTATAAAAAAAGAATTAGTCAGACTTTCGCGGAAAAAGAAAAACAGAACTAAATTTTTATAAGAATTAAACTATAAAAAAAACTAATAAAATATATTAATACCTACTATAAAAAAAAGAATTAATAAATATTAATTTATAATAGTATCTGAAAAAAATACTATATAAAAAACTTACTAAAAAAAAGAGAAAAAAAAAATATTATAAAAAAAAAAAGACTGAAAATCTAAAAGAAAAAGTTTTTTTATATAAAAAAAAATCTTACTTCTGTAAGAATAGCTTTATTAGTTTTAACTATAAAATATTTCAGACAGTCTAAAAGAATAAATTAAAAAAGATTTAATACTATTTACTATTTTAACTATAAAAAAACTGTTTATATTTACTAAAAAAACTATTTATATTTACTAAAAAAGAACTATTATTATTATAGAAAACTGTCTAAATATTTTATAAAAAAATTATTTAAATACTACTATAAAAAATAGTCTAGTAGATAGCAGACTATATACTAAAATTAACTACTATAAAAATATTAGATAAATAATCTAATATTCTATTATAAAAATAAAAATAGTAAAAGCTATTTTTTTTATTATTCTAATTTTTCGCAAAGCAGTTTATAAAAAAGAGATTTTAATAATATTATTATAAAAAATAATCTACTCTTTGTAAGAAAAAAAGAAGTAGTTATAAAAACTAAACTAATTTTTTTAATCTTTGCGGATACCGCGAAGAGAAAGCTATATATATATAATCTTAAGTATTAGTTATATAATAATTAAATAAGCCGATTATAATCTTTTAATTAAAAATAATATTTTACAACTTAGAAAGATTAGTAATAATATTTTAAGACAATATATCAATATCTTTAGACTTGTAAGAGTTATTTATTCTTCACACTATTTCACCTCCAGCCCTTATAATATTTAAATAAAAATTATATACAAATTAAGTAAAATAATATTTATTTAATTAAAAAAAAAAAGCTGCCTGGCAGCAGCAGAATAAGTATATTATTTATAATATTTTTATTTTATTAAAAAATTAATTTTAAATTATTTTTTTATTATTTAAATAGTTAAAAACTACTTAGAAAGTACTTATACTAATATTTTTATATAATTCTGCTATAGTAGTAGTGGTTGATAGTAGTTAATAATAATTAATAATATATATAAAATAAAAAAAAATGATATAATTTAAAATTTATTATTATAAGTGGTATAATAGTTATATGATTTTTAAGTATTTACTAAGCTATTTTGGGTCGCAGCAGCAAAATAACGACCATCCCTCATCTGCAACCATATTTTGTACTTTGCTTGCCCTCGTCCGTTGCCAATCCGCTCTCCGTGGTCAGCAGGACTCAGGACTGCGTACAAATGTCGTCCGGGGTGGGATTATCTCTGGTTTCATCGTGAGTGCCAACACCGGCCGAGTCCTTGACAGCAAGCTGGCTAGGTTGAGCCTCTGCCACTTCCACGTCTGTCTCCACAGAGGAAGGTGGCACGGAGTCTGTGGACGAAGTCAAAGAAGGTGGAATACGCTCAGCCCTATCTTTTTTCAGACTCTTCGGAGTTCCCGGACTCGACTCCACGTCACGGAAGGAGTTTTTGGCACTGGGATGTGCAGACGAAAGCTCCATAGGATCATGATCATGGACCGGTGCCGCCACGTCCTCTTCTGTCACCATAGAAGAGCCTGTAGAATATTGCTCCGGTTCATCTTCTTCGGTGGCCATTGGAGACCCTGGCTCGGAATCTGAGCCAGCGACTGTTTCGGGCAGAGAACCAAATGAGACGTTGGCAGGAAGAACGGGATAGGCCTCTTGATCTTCGGGTGGATCAGAAGCAGCGACATCGGCTTCAGCATCAGCGGTAGCTTCAGGGCTGCCTGGAGATGGTCCGGGGGCAGTCGGATCTTCAGCAGCACCAATGACCTTAGTCCTCGCAGTAAGCTCTTCTTCAGGAGTTCCAGGAACACCGGGATCGCCACCTTCTTCAGCAACGTCAGTCTTAGCAGTCCACTCAGTTTCAGGTGTACCAGGAGCTTGAAGAACCGTGGCATTGTCGGGGTCCGTAGTGGCAGTGCTTGCCACAGCCCTTGAGGGCGCTGGCGGCTCTTCCTCAGTCACAGGCGTGCTGGGATCACTAGGGGCTGCAAAACTACTCGCAACCGAAGTATTCGCGATTGTGGGATGAAAACTATCGCCAAACGTGGTCGCCATGGATCCCCCAGCAAAAACACTGTAATCAGGGACATTACCATCGTAAATGTCGCGAACCAGTTTCTCTGGCCACTGAGGGGTGGGCAAAGGCGCGAGGATGCCTGCCTTGTCCAAGGCCTGCGCCATGCGCGGCACATAGACCTCAAGCTCCTTGAAAGGCTCTCGAGCATGCACCGCGCGCCAGACTCCATCCAAGTGATGGTCCAGGGACTCATAGCCAATGACCTCCGGTTTGAGCTTCCTTGAGATCAGATAGTCCAGGACGCGCGCGCCCATGAACCAGTGATAGCTTTCTTCCGGCCCCAAACACCACCGCCGCGCCCACTGGATTAGGTGCATCTTAATGTAGTACACCGGCTTCAGCATTCTAAGCCTGGTTAGAACGAACTTGGGGAGCTCCCATTGGTCCTCATTCATCCAAATCTCATCATCGTCCTCGGGGACTACACATGACCCAAGGACCTTGGAGCATGTGTGCAGGTACAGATCCAAGTGCGGCGCGCCCCCGGTGGACAGTTGCACGATTTCGGTTCCCACATCATGAAAACCCCCGGATCGGCCGCACACCTGGTCCAGACCACGACTGAAGCTCTTCTCGTAAAGAAGCTGGACCGCACGGGCCATAGAGGCATTTTCGACGACGAATTCGATGTAGTGCGGCACGCCCAGCTGGGTATCCTCCACTCCGTATAGCCGAACTATGGAGCCAGTCCACACGATGTACTTGATTTCGGCCTCGTCGAAGATCTGGGCGATCTTCTCGATCTGGGTGATCGCAGGGAGTTTCTCAAAGGGGAAAACCATGGTGTAGCCTTTTCCGTTCGTGTGTAAGCGGACTAAGCGGGGGTTACAGAGGGAATTGTCGCCACCAGGTGTGTTCGCATGAATCTTTTTATACACCATGATGTGACTTCCGACGCCGGTGGAAAGGAGTGCAATCATCCGTTCCACAAGTCGTCCAACCGAAATACTCCATCAAAATGGACGGTGAGTATGCCCAGAGAAGCCATAGCAAGAGGAGGATGTCAAGCCATCATTGTTTGAGGGTACAACCCGGTAAGATTGTGAAGAACTTCTTATAGTGTGTCCGGAAATTGTCCTTTCCCATGATATCTTTATTCTCACCGGAGAATTTAGCTGGAGGAATACAAACTACTCATCGTGACCTAGGTCAGGATGGACTTCGATGGGATAAGCCTGGTCGCACATTCACACGCTGCGATCCTCATATTCACCCGACAGCTCCGAGGACGGAAAGTGGTATATGGTGCCCCCAGGACCTATGCAATAGCTTCAATCTCATCCGGGTACTGCAACTGATTCTGCTCGCGAACTTGGTCAAACACCCTCATCATCAATAGCGTCTCTGCCAAGGGCATGACTGGCGATTCGCGCTCGCCAGCCTGCACGCGCCGGGCACATTCATCTGCCTCCCAGAACAGTCCATGGCCCACCGGGATCGGAAATGCGGTTGTAGAAGCGTCTCCCGCCGACCCATAAACCACCACTTTGATACTATCCGGACGCGCGGCGGGTCCAAATACTTGGATCTGTCCTTTTGTCCCAAGAATGCGGACGCCTGGTTCTTGCGGGTCGGGCGTGACTCGGAGACTAGCCGTCGCTACCCCCTGCGTCTGCGTTTCAGGGGAGGTGAGGACGACCGTTACGGTCTCATCTACCCCGGTTTCTTTGTACTTGATCACGGAGCCGGTCGTTCGCAGGGGAACCGAAGCAAGAGGCCGGTCGGCACTCAGGAAAAGGAAGACCCAGGTCAAGGGGTAGACGGCCACTAGAAACAAAATTCCATGTTAGCATGGAGACTGAGATTTGGCGGAGGCCGGGAAAAACCGACAGTCCAGCAAGGCGCCGCCAGCCAAGGCGGGGTTGACCAGGCGATGCTTGGTGCCATACAGCTCCTCCACGTTGCGACCCAGGTTCCGATCGGCCACGATCCGCTGGACCGTCCCGATGACCCCCTCTCGGACGAGATGTTGTACGTGGCGCGTGAGAGGGAAGAACCGGGTCCAAAGCGCTTCCATGAGGAAAAGTCCTCGTTTCCTGGCCAGATCCACGAGCACCTGGGCTTGCTCGGCATTCACTGTGAAAGCCTTCTCCGCGAGGACGTGTTTATTGGCGAGCAAGGCCAGACGCGTGTGGGCAAAATGATGTGAGTGAGGAGACGCAACGTAGACAATGTCGACGTTGGGATCAGCGACGAGGGCTTCGTAAGAACCGTAGGCACGAGCGGTGGACGGGGTGTGGGTAGTGGAGAGGAGATTCTGGGCTTTTTCTATCGCGCTGGACGAAGCGACGGCCACAATGTCATGGGTGACATCGTGGACTTGGCGGGTGGCAGGGTCGATAAGAAGGTCTTTGACGAACTCTGCATGTGGTAGGTATACTGAGTTAAAAGGTGGCAACTTGGAAGTGATTGGGGGTTTTTCGATGGACGACTAACTGGTGGCATTGTCGCCGGTTCCTAATCAAGATGGGATGAGCGCTAAGTTGGACTGTAGCTGGGCCTGGGAATCACCTCTTCGCACCTAAAATTCCCCAACGAACCATACTTGCTTGCTGTGTCATCAGATGTTTTCCGGGACAGGTAAGGTATTGTGGCGCGGAGTGGAATCAGGATTTGTACTCTAAATAAATAAATGAATGAGTGACGACTAGGGTCCGGAATGTCATCCAGCCTGCAGATCGCGTCATCCCCGGGCAGCCAACTTCCACGAATGAGAAACAACCTTAGCATCATGTTGAGGATAATATACATTAAATTTATATTTATGTGAACACACCATGAGATTGACCTAACCACCCCTGCATCCTTAGAAACAGAGAATTCTGAAGCGGCGACTGGCTCCCGAGGTAGACGTAGTCGTGGTGATGGCAGCACTGCCCGTCGCGGTTTGGCTGGCCGCAGCAGTCGTTGATGAAGTGGGACCACTGACACTGGGCGATGTCGATACAGCATTTATCGCAGTGGTCGAAGAAGCAGAAGCATTGGTGGTTGCGACAGCAGTGGATGTATTGTTCCAGTCACTGTAGGAGTCACTGCCGGACTCATCGTCGTCGTCGTCGTCGTCGTCGTCGTCGTCATTTAGGCTCAAGGCATATGCTTGCGAAACCCACAGGGAATAGACACCATCCCCGCCACCTGTTCGTCAGGTCAGGTCAGCAAGATAGACACGCATTGTCTCGGGAAAGAGAACTTCATTCGTACACGTATCAACAGCATAACCGGGGCACGCGGCATTGCAAGCACTCTCGTCGTCGGCCAAGGCCATGTCCTGGATGTCAAGAGCCGCAGTTCCGCAGTAACACAGCTCCTCTTGCACCGCGGCAAACACCCCGTTGACCTTCTCGCATTGAGTTGTACAGTGGCCGACCGATTGGAACTCATAGCTCCCCATGTTCTCCATGTTTCCAGTGGAGGTGAAGCAGCTGACCTGCGCCCAGAGGTCGTCGGCTTGGGTCGGGAGGACCAAGGGCAGCAGAGCCGCCAGCGAGTAGACGGTAGATCTCATGGTTACTAGGTAGCGCTGCAGGGAACCTTTGAAGTCGACCTGTAGAGCGGGCGATCTACAACGAATATAAGAGTTACATCGGTCCCTGGTGCCTGCGCAATGCTAATGCTACCGCTGCTGTTGCTGTTGCTTGCTGTTGGCTTGCTGTTGGCTTGCTGTTGGTGGGCTTGCAGGTGAAACTCCTCGTATCAGGTCAGGTCTGGCCCCACTTAGCGCAACCTAGTCGTACTTGAGTAGCATTACTATCGAAGTCTGTCGAAATTGCATGACCCTGAGTTCAGTTTGGCGTGTTTGGCGAGTTTGATTGCATGGCTAAGATTTGCTGCCGCTATACCTAGTAAGGTGTGTGTATAATTATACAGTGTCAGGTATCATTATGTCAGCGTGCATAGTTAACTAGTGCGGGGTGCATATTACTGCCTGAGGCAACAAACCTGGAATCGAAAATCCCGTCCCTGCAGGTTCCAAGTTCTTGGTCCAACTTCTCCCTCTTACTTGTTGTACACCAAAACACCAATCCTTTCCATCCTTTCTATCCTCTCCAACAGATTCATTCTCCTGCACTCCACATGATCCAAAACTTTTCTGTTCACTCTTTCATTCTTTCATTCTTGCGAAATTCTCTTGCCACAATGCTTCCCTTCTTCTCTTCCAGAGCCTCCGTTATCCTTGGAACGTCCGCTTGAGCCATCGACTACTTACCTAGTCTAGTCCCTAGTCAAATCTCCCTCAAATCTCCCTCAAATCTCCATCGGAGACACCGCACCACCAACACTGGCTCACCCAAACGCCACGACCGGCGGACTACCTCAATGGAGCCAGCTCGGAGAATCCCATTCCCGCTCAGGTGATGGATGGTCAGTGTGGCGGTGCTGAATGCCAGACCCGCAGACCCGCAACCGGGAATTCGCTGCCAGCCAAACTTCGGTTCGTCCACTCGACACCCCTCGATCTAGCCACTCCAAGGCCCGGCCGCATCTTCGCAGCATCTGGCCGAGTCTATGGCGTTCCTGACACCCGATCCCTTCCAAGGTCACTCGGGGAGAAAGGGGGCTGCGATCCCGGGAGCAAATTTTGCACTTGTCCACGCAACAACCAATCCATATCCACCTAGGGAGACAAAAAGAGGGAGAGAGAGGGCAACAGACATCATCTCGTGCCTATTGTGCCAAGGGAGTCTTTCAACCTTGATGCAAGAGATGCGAGAAGCGAATGATCTCCGGTCAGGAAGGGGGGAAGACACGAGGCCAGGAACCGATCGACACGGATGCCAATCGCTTAGATTTACCTACCCCTGGCCCGAACCATGCGCAATGCTTATCGTCCTTTCGGCCGTTCCAAACTTGTGCAGGTGCTTGGTGCTTATCAAATATGCCACCAATCGTGAAGCGTTAGGGCTTCTTCCGGCTGGACTCCGACGCCACGTGCTTGGCAGCTGCTCTTCAGCAATCAAGCAATCTATTAGTCTTCATCGCCTTCGTAATCGGATCAAAATCCCATCTTGAGCTTTAGTGCCCCGGCCCTCATCGTGGTGTCACCGGGACCATGATCGATCTACCCTGGAAATCCCTCGGCTACGCTTGCCCCTGGCCTGCAGAACTCTTCGCCGCCACCTACAGGCCGAATGCCCTCAACTGTCCGGCCCAGTGTATAAATATCTTCGTGATGGCCCATGGCCCATGGCCCTTAATCTCTACCCCTGTTCGTCCCTACTACCTCCTTCCGACTGGTTCCGCGCTTGATCGTGGTCCAGAATCGGACGAGTAACGACAACCACCATGCAAGTCTGGTCTGTCTTGGGCGTCGCCGGCCTGGCTCTGGCCCAGAGCTGTGCTGCTGCCCTACCCTCCTCTTCTTCCGTCACCTCTCAGGCAGTCATCTCCACCGCGGCTGCAGCATCCCCAGCTAGCACACAGGATGCGACAACTGCCACACGGGTAGTGACTACTGCATCGTCCGCTGAGAATGCTGCCACGATGTCCGCCTCGAGTCAGTCTTATCTCCACCATGTATCTCCTTCTCTTCTCACGTCACTGACTCTTCTCCAGCATCTTCCACCGCTGTCGTCGTTGCCACAGACACCTCCGGTCAATTCACCGCCATTGGAGATGCCGTTTCCTACGCTCAGTCGATGGGCATCCCCACTGTGACCGTCAAGGCCGGCACCTACACCCAAGCCGTGACCGTCTCGGCTACCGCAACCGTCACCGTCATCGGCGAATCACCCAGCCAACGAGACTATAGCCAGAACCAGGTTACCATCTCGGCCACTAGTCC